TCGTAAACGATCTCTATATTTAATATTGATTCCGCCTTTTTTATCACTGTAATTTATTTATTCAATAATAGTTTTGAATGAGGATGATAAAAACGTGCGTTTAAATAGAGACAAAATAATATAGATAAAGACATTTAACATATAATTGTTAATGATTTATAATTTATCTTTTGGTAGATGTGCACGCGGAACGCTTTCTGCTATCCACTCAAATTAACAAAATATTTTTCACTTTAATAAAAATGTAATTTAGATTGAATAATAATGAATACAAAATCAAAATGAGAAACAATGATAATATTAAAATTATTATATTTTTACAGTATTCTAAGAAAGAAACAATACTGGAATTTAATAAGGTGAATAGTATATAAATTTGTCTTAGCTATAATTAATATAAATTATACTTTATTGACATACTTTGGAAGTCAAATGTATGTAATTATCAATTTAATAAATTACTTTCGATAAAAAAAAAAAGATAAACAAATGTTCAAAAGTAAAATACAACTCTTTCATAAGTATATTTATACATGAATGAAACATTAAGTAAATGGATAATTAAAAAGTTATGATTTCAAATAAATGATGAAAAATAATAATGCATAGTATAGGTGCTACATAAATAAACGTTATATTCGTATAATTACGAATACTAAAATAGTAGTTTAAGAACGGAAATGATCAACAAAAAGTTATTTTATAATTTTTTATGATTTAAAATTAACTAAAATCTGAAATATTTTCATTCGATATTTCGGATTATTTTAGTGAGCTTATTAAACCCGTGAGAATTGAAATTTTTATTATTTAAAAGCATTTTGGAATGGGTGTTGTCCATCAACTCGATTTTTCTCAGTTTGAGGAAGTGTCGTATTAATATTCTAGAATTTAAAACGATTTGAAAAATGTTCCTAGAATCTGAAATCTGTACTTAGATTTTTTTTCTTTACATGCTTTCATAATTCATATTTTAAATATGATACAATTTATAAACTAAAAAACGGATTTATATTAATTTAAAACCATATAAATAAGATGTTTTTACGCTTTATAATTTCATAAAAATATTCTTTTATATGTATAAAAAGAAGTATTAAATATTGAAAAAACAAATAAAAGCAACAGTTCATACAATATTATAAGTTATTCCTTTTCGGAAGAATTATAATATAGTTAAATTACTCTTAACCTTTAAAAAATTATTCAAAGAGTAATATTCAATCTATACTATGGTGATATTCTGATATATATTGATTTTAATATTTTACATGTGTGATTCTAGCATACACTCACAGCACCTGAAATTCATATTAATTAAAAAATGATATAAATAACATGTTTTAAATAGTAAAAATAAAAACTAAATGTACCTATTTAAGTATAAAAAAAAATAAAAAAAAATAGTAGTTACGCTTGAACGAGCACTTACATGTTTAAGTTTAAACATGTACCCGTATTAAGAGCAATGATAATATTAATTATCATGCAGTCACAAGTGAAACATAAAGAGTGCTCTTTATCTATGACAGTTTTACGTGTACATAAGGCCAGTCTAATGGCATTAAGCATGAATTAAGATCTATCTTAATTCGTGGCATAAGGTTAATGGATATCAGTGAAATTTTTCCATTTAAATCTCATCTCTAATCACAGAATAATTGATTTTCTTATCAATATTATGTCCTTAACAATATTGCTTTGCATATTATGTCTTGAAAAGGAAAGAGATCGACAGGGGTTAAAAACATTTTTGCATTTTTTTTATATACCAATGCATTTCTTATAAAATGTTCAAATTAAACTTCAATAAGGCAATATTTTCCTAAAACACATTATTTTGCACAATATATTCTTTAACATTAAAATATGATTTATTAAGCTCTAAAAATTTTCGTATATCAGTTGATAGGAAAATGATTCGCCGAGAAAGTTAAACCAATAGGAGTCACATACTCTCAGTAAAAATATGTAAAAACGTAAAAATCCGGTCTCCAATAATAATAATCGATTTATGTACTGGAAACTTTAAACGTTTTTGACTAAACGCAATTGAAAATATTAACACCGTTTTGTTGACATATTATTAGTATAGCTCAAGATTTGTTGTGATTGTTGGGTCATGCCATCTAGCCATCTGATTATAATAACCAATACAATAAAAAAAAAATCTCTGCGATCACCGTCACAATATTTATGTTGTCACATTATTATTAGCGGTAGAAACGTGTTCTGCTAAGTGGCTCGTGCGTGCGTTATGCCTTGATATGGTTTTACAAAGTGACGCAAACCACGAGTAAGAAGGGGTGTCAACTGACACCTTTAAAAATAAGGCGGGTGGGCGGAGTAGAGGTAATCTTAATATTTAGGTTATATGATACTTCATGGAATCTTGATGCTATTAAGCACGCCTAAAAACATACTTACAATACTAGTGGGTAAGACAAAGGTGGAGTCACCGGATCCGAGAAGCGACGGTGATTGATCTCATCTGTTTATGACACCGTAATATCAATAATACTCTGTGAATATATATTCAAAATATTGTAACAGCCCTCTTATATGTGTACATGTGCTTTGGAAAATATATCTGTATTTTTATCATCGGCAAATCAGTAATCGAAATAACAACGCCTGAACCTTGTGTTTTACATATTATTACATATGCATTACTAGCGTGTTGTTCACGGACATAACTTTTTGCTGTGTTTTACCTGAACATTGTTTATGTCAAAAGAAGGTTCATATTTTTTGTAATCACATAATACTCAAGCTTGCGGAATTAAGACAAAAATATAACCGTTTAACAACAGTATAAAATAAATTTGTCTAAAGTAAAAAAGAAAAAATCAAAAATGTGTTACCTTACAACTTTGATAAAAAAATTTCTTAATGGAGCATATAAAGGCTTTTGATGGTAATAAATATAATTTAACGTTTTAAAATATTAAATATGTCAATCTCAGCTTAAACCAAAAACAAAAACAATCATATGCCAATATCACTGCTAATTCCATTACCAATACAACACCTTCATTACGCTCGAAAACTCGATTTTCAAATTTCTCAAGGATTATGAAGCTATAATCAGCGCCGACAGTAAAATCATTGGCGCCTTGGGTGAATAAATAAATACGCACCATTCTCCATATAATTAGTAGTAGTTTTATTTAAAATCGTCATCTGATGCTATTAATATCTAAATTCTAAATAAAAAAGCAATTACGAACGGTGATTGACATCAATAGTATTTTACTATCTATGGACTTAATTATTATATATATATAATAAAAAATAGTCAATAGAATAGATATAATATAAGAATTAAATTTTCTATAATTGTTTCAGTTTTGAAATTAAATCATTGAGGCGCCCCTTATAAACAAGAGCCCAGGGCCTAGGCCCAGGCCACCCACATTTAACACAGTACCTGGCTATAATCAACTCATTACTACTCTTATTATCATAACAATAGTTGAAAAATTCTGATTCCGTCTTCTGTTTCTAGACCTTCTCCTTTAAATCAAATTATTAAATAGTTCTATAATTTTTAATATCTTCCCTATTTCCATCTCTTTATAAATAAATAAAAATAAACATCTTTAATCTCTTATGTTCGTTTAAATGCTCTCGGCCAATTATATCCCTTATTAATATTACATTCTCACTCTCATTAGATAAAATATTGTTATCTAATTATTATATCATATACCCATTATTATTATTTAAAATTGATGTTATTTTCCGTTTGATGTATTATGTATAATAACGTACTCTGTATAATTCTTCGCATTTATCGTATTTAATTGTTAAGAAATTAAATATAATTCTGTAATTGTTGAATTATAATAGTTCTTACTGAAAGCTCTTGAATAAATAAATAAATAAATATATATACATATAAATTTCGAGAAATACTAAACATTTGAATCATTAATCAAATATCTTTCAGTGATATCAAGATTTGCAGTAGCATATCCCATATTAAGGATATTATATGATGCACTTTCGGTTGTTAAGTATTAACAGATATTTTTAAATTTTAAGATCGAATCGACAAAACAATACTTTGTATATTCTTACAATACTAGGTCGTATTAGAATGTTGGGACTGTTCTAGATAAATACTAATTGTACATTAAACATGGAAATATTGGAATCATGTACCGAATAAAATGGAATTAAATATTTATCGGTACAATTCAAAATATATTCATTTTGAATTGTATTTCAACCGTTGCTGGAGTAGAACGTCAGTGATTATGAAAATTAGAAAGGTTGTATGTTCCCGTGGAATCATCACATACCGATACCTACATATTATTACGTTTAATTACTGATAATTTTATTTAGTTTCAACAAGAACAGTGACCGTTATCAATACCGTCTCATGGTTTAACACTGCACCATTAGAATTTAAACAATATTGTTAGCGCCGTAAGGATATATTTAACTTCTCTCCCTCGCCCGTCCAATTGCAACCACGTGTTTAACGACAAGATAACGATTGTTTTTCTTTGTCGTGCTGCCACGGTTATGCGCTGTGCACGTGTGCACATCATAATATGCGCAACGCAAACCTATTATGCGGCATACTGCGAACTGAAATAACACGAATGTGGTTCCGCAGTATTATACTGTACTATGTACAATGTAGGGGGGATCTACGGGGGGGATGTGTTAAACTTCCCCAAAATCAGGAAAATATGTATTAAAAATCAATTTTATGAACTAAGAAAAAGAATTTTTTATTTTTAAATATGAGGTATATACTTTATATATTTACTCATACAAGAAAATATTCGTATTTGATTTAAATTAATGTATTATATTACTTACTATTATCTTTATTCGTTATCATTCATTAACTGCAATGTTATAAAAAATATCTTAAGTGAAAGCATTTTTCAACCCCCCCCCCCTAAAAAAAAAAAAACCTGGATCCGCCATTGGTACGATAAAATATAATAATAATAATAAAAAAATGTGTAAGTACGTACATTGCACCAATAAACGACGGTTGCGTCCGTAACGAAGACCGTACGAATACCACGTGTTCACGATTTGTATTAACTGATGAAAATACGAGGCAAATCCGAGCACGTAGTTCGCACGGAAGAGTGGCGGCGATCGAAAATTTCCTCTTGTCCGATATTAGGTACGCGTTCGCTGCGGGCGCCGCACGTCGTTCGAAATTCGCAGGGACCGAGGGCGACGACCGCGGTTTGAACGCGTACGCAGTTGTCTGTTCGGCCATTGCCGACGAACTGGCCAGGGGTGTCGGAGGAAAAGGAACCGGTAACGAACCGGCACGTTTAAATCACCACGAGAATAGGGCGCGGTATTGTCACAGGGTCTACCGCGTAGCTGATAACCAATTCACTGACCATTTTTTGCGCGTAACGCAAAAGATGAGTGCAGGATGCCGTATGCGCGCGCATTCGTTCCCTTCCACGTCGCCAAGTAGACGAAAAACTATTCGAAGTACCGTCCCCGCGGGTGGCTATTATTACTGATACAGGGCTCGAAATCGGTATTTATATGGGTTTCAGAAGTATGACGTTACGTATGGTTAACCGATATCGGTATTGACATTGAAGATTCAATGTCGGAAGGATAAAAACAAGTTTTTTTTTTTTAAAATAACAATTATTTCCACCAGAATAATATATTGCTCGGGTAGTAGGTGCCGAAAGGTGGCGGAGATGGTCGTCGAGTTTACGCGCATTGTACAATAAAGGTCGGACCAAATAAACGTTCTCGGAGAGGACCCCGGTGCCGAAACAATGAATGGCTACACCGACTGCGGTAATCACAATGCCTGCAGATTAACAGCATTAGACGATCCTTTGATATTTTTATGCCCACGTTTAGCGTGTAACGCGATAATGCCTCTCGCGCGTGGATTATGGACATACACTGCGAATATGCGATATGATTATATTATATATATTGTACGTAAGCGGGTACAGCTGAAATTCATGTCAGCGGCTTGGCCGTTGTCATCATGGAGTGTGCTGCGAGTAATTCACTGTGGCGTGATAAAACTACGAGCTCACAGCACTGTGTAATCCGTTCGTTTTCAAATACAAACACACACCAACTCGAACGAAATGGAATAATGACCGTGTGACCACACGTGGTGTCGGATTTCGGATCAGAACGCAGTGCTATTAGTACACGCATACGAACGGATACAAGCGAGTCCATCGGTAGGTGAAATGGGATGACGTATCACAGGCCTCTGGAAAATTATAAGATAATATTTTTTTAACCAGATCGTTTTACCGCAGGCAATGTTTTTTCTATTCACTTATCCATTCACACATTTCGTACATTTAATCGTCGGGAGAGCTATATTTTAATTCTCAACACGAATAGAGTAAGTCATCCGCATTGGTAAGATTCCAAATGATGTTCAAAATACAGTAAGTTCTCGTTACAACGGATACCGATACAACGAAAATCATAAAAAGTCACCTACGGAAATGCTATGAAAACAATGTTAAATGAATCTCAATATAACGAAATGTTGATTTTACAGGTTAAAATACATTTTCTCTTCTTAATTTAATCTAAAGACAACAAGCATACAATTTTATGAAATCATCAAGTCGTTAAATTGTCATTGTGTGTGACCGTGTTTTTTATTTATTTTTTTTTATTGAAATTTTGTAAATTGTGTAACCGTGTTCCGCGTCAATCGATAACGCGACACAATCAGTTGGGTGTATATCTTCATAAAGCTCATACGTAGGTCATTTTTCATATTTTACGCTCCTTCTTTATTGAACATACACGTGATGGGTCCTACAGTGAAAATAAAGTGATTTTCGTTGGAAGAGAAGAAAATCATAATTTTTGAATTAGACAATGGATTGAAAAAAGGCGAGGTGGCAAAAAAGTATGGAATATCTTCATTGAATTCGGAGAAAAATATCCAAAGAAAATCCAATGTGAAGGAAGCTATCGGAATGGATATACGGAGCTTGAGATAATATCAGCCAATCAACAATAACTAACTGTTGGAAAAATGCAATCACAATTACAAAAGACGCCGATTCGATTTCAGAAGTGGCCGAATATGATGAATTAAATACGCACAAAATCCAACAATTTGAGTTAGACAAATTTGGATCACTGCAAAAAAGAAAACATCGCTTCCTGACGACGTAAATTTAGAAGATTATCTCAGTGTAGATGACAACATTACAATATGTTATGAACTAACCGAAGTAGACATCATTCAATACATTTAAGACAGCAAAGATGAGGCCACCGATGAAAATTGTGAACATAATGTATGAAATATCACTTAATTAAAAGGCTTATCAAGTTTGGAAGTAATGGAAACATTCATTACAAAGTGATGTACCAAACTTAATCTTTACAAACATTCACAAACTACAAAATTATTTACTTTCTATTAAAACAGCAAACCTTGTTCAAAAGAAAATTGTCGATTGTCTATAATAAATTTTTTTTTTTAAACTGCCGAAAAAAAATTAAATATATTAAATATGCATAATATAATTATAAATTAATGTGACCTAGGAGTAGGAACTAATAAAATGCATTTGCCCTTTAGAGGGACTTCATGCAACGTTGCAATATACAAGACTGTACAACCATCAATCATATAACGCGTAATAAAATAAAATGCAGTCAATCTATGGTTAATTACATTTTGTATTTTATAATACTATTAGGGGTTCTGTTGTTGATACCCTAGATAAAATTATTAAAATGGCTTTTTATTATAAAATAGACACGAGAAATAACCTAAAAATATTTTAAAAAAATTTCCTAATCCCCTTGATCTAAATACTAGAAATTATCATTATTAAAGTTAATAAAATTATTTATTAATTTGAAATATACATATTTTGATTCAAGTAGGTTTTAAAATTGGTTTAATAAAAAAAATGATGAACACCTAACAAACTAATAACTAATATACTAACTAACCTCAATTAGTAAAAATAATAAAAATGTCCAATAATTTCAAAAATAATCTATAAGCGAAAAAAATTTAAAAATAAAATATAGAATAATAAGGTACAGAGAGTCGTATGTTGTTGAAACACATTTTGAACAAGGGAAGGATCGTTTTTAATGTTCCGAAAAAATAAGCAAAAACCATCAACATCCAAACCTTGATTATTAGGTACGAAGCAAAAACGCGATAACATTCTAATGATTGATGATAACGTAGATACTTCCTACTAGTATTTCGAATACTTTCAGTCTTGAAATTTTAGTCATCAGAGATATGACTACGTAGATGCCACGGATATTAATTTTTTTTCTTTACCGTTTTTGTCAGGTATAAACTTAACTAAATACGGAGAGGAAAACAACGTGCGGCAAAAGACGTCCGGAGATCGGTAAAAATATTTTGAAATTCCGTTTTCGTGAATTCCCTTAAGTATTAAATTAATATAATCAATGGTAATAAATGCAATGGCGTCGAACGCTGTTGCTGTGTGCTACGTGTAGTACATGTAATGATTATCATACAACTATAGTAAAATTATATTCTCAACCATAAAATTAACTGCTACCACAGTTGGTATAATACAAACATTAATTACGATTAATTCGCGGTATTAAATCCCCTCTCGACGTAGTTTTTTTTCATTTTTAAATTTTTAAACAATATAGAGTATACGTGTGGACTATATTATTGTTATTAACATTATTATTATAATTATTATCATTATCGTACGAGCCTATTTATATATATTCTATGGGTATAACGTTAAACGTAATTACTTATAATTATACACATAGGGTTAACACCGGTCGGTTCAATGGTCTTTTGCTCCTTTCGCGGACCGGTAACTCTTGATGACAAGCGGGATGGAGAAGAATGGAGCATCTCTCTCTCTCTCACACACACACACACACACACATATACGATACATTATTATTTGGAATCAAACGATTTTGACGAAGAAAGTGGCTACGAGACACACGACTACCTACCTGAATGGAACACAAGTTTAAAAATAATAAAGTTTTCGTTCAAGTATGAAACATAATTACCTCGACATGATACTCGAACAGGTTTTCGTGTACATTATCGAGTGTCTCACGTCTCTCGGACAGATTTCCATATAATCGCATGGATATTTATAATGTATACGTACACTTTAAGTATACAGTGAGTAGTAACTTTAATCGATTATTATGATATTATGATCGAAACGAAATCGTCGGCTCAATGTGTTCTACTTGGAAATCCAAATAGTTTTACATTTTTAATTATTCTGTAACATAAGATCAAACAGTGTCGGCTATATCACTATTTTCCAACCATCATCGTGGTCGTAAATTGATACACGTATTTTTTGTCGGAAAATAATAACCGTGCATCATACGAGTTTTTTCTATTAGAAAAACAAAAAACTACTATTGTTCCGTAATAATATACGACTGATGTACATATTATAATAATATTTACATTCGTCTTTCGCTGTTGTATTGTTTTAACTACCGATTACGCTCCGAGTAGTTTTAAAAGCTCGGAACGGTTTAATATGTTAACCCGACCTCAAGCCCATCAAACTAAATGTTATTTCTAGAAACGAATTCGCTACGCATCTTCCGTTTCGACACGGTCCATTTGGATTCATCGTTAAAACGACGTTTAATGTTACACACGTGCGACGACGAGTCGCGTTGTGTCGTATCACGGGAGTTCGTTCCCCGGGGAGTTGGGGAGGAAAAAATTCATTTGAAAACTGTAAATACACATCTTGTGATATTTTAAAATAGACCGTGTCCCCCAACGTATTTCATCTTAAGTAGATGCGAAGCTGAGGACATCGATTTTTTTACCATTTAAAAACTAACAGATGTGTACACGATTCGTACACATATGCAATTTTACGTCTCCTATTCGGTTACGGATTGGTGGGTCTACAAAACCAGTTCTCAGAAATAATTGAGTGAATAATAATGATGAAAAAAAAATGATAAATAAATACAAACGAATATCGAGACCCACTTTGTTTTGGATCTTGTGAAAATGCATTATTCGTCGAATGCGTCTCGCATATCCCACTGTTACCGTGTCAACAACCCGAACACATTGCGATACATCATCTTCGAGGGTTCGTCTAGAATAAAACCAAGATGTGTTTATTTTGTTGTTTTTTTTTTTTTTTTTTTGTACATATATATAAAACGTTGTATAGAATATTCTCTTTTAATTAGTTTGCAACTGAGACTTAAAATAATTTATTTAGTCGACAAAAAAAAAAA